CATTTTTAAAATAATATTTTATTAATTTCCCAATTTTACATTTGAATATTTAAAAAGCCAACGTGGTGACTGGGTTAATCAATAGTTCAACAACAACATCCGAGTGCAAATCTCAGGTCACAACATCAAATATTTCTTCTCTTTTTTCCTTAACATTTACTGTCTCGCATTCAAGTCTGTACATTTCTAATTATATCAACCCATTAAGAACATCATTATTACATTTCTCAATAAAATTTTAGCTTATACGTATTTTAATTACATTCAGTCTTCATAAACAATCCATCTCCTGTTGTTGATTTTTACTCAGTTTTTAATTTCTTATCCATTACATTTTGATGCCGCCCATCTCCCATACAAAGCGACGCTGGGCGGCCGACGTCCAAGCAGATGTTGTGAGGCGCAACACAACATATTTCGGATTTTTTTTCTCACTTCTGATTTTTCCCTTTCTCCCCCTTTGCCTTCTTCTCTCAGAACCCGGCCGATGAGAAGCAGTTGGGAGCCGCGGGGGGGAAGTCTCAGCTCCCTCGAGATCTTCTGAGCATCATACAACCCAACGGGGCCTGGCCAGTCCCTTCCAGCTTCAGAGGGATAGATTTGAACTCCCTGCAAACCACCCTCCAGAGCCCAGGGCAGTCTTTTCCACGCCCGGGGCAGTGTCGGATCATGTGAACGCCGCCTTTTCCGAGGACGCAGGAAAGAAAAATCTGTGGGTAGTGGGACCGCTGGATTTGCGCAAGGCTGCTTCGGCGCACGCCGTCTCGTACAACCTGGGAAATGTCTCCTCTTGGCTTTGGAGAAAAACTGCTGAGAAAGACCATAATAGGGCAGCCTCGTCAAGAGGTGGCCTTATAACCATTGTACGGGTAGTCCTCGACTTAATGACTGCAACGGGGCCCCGAATTTCTATGGCTAAGTGAGACACTTGAATTTTGCCCCATTCTACGGCCTTCCTTGCCACACGTAAGGGAATCCTTGCAGTTAGTGACACTGTTGTTAAGTGAAACCGGTGTCAGAAGGTCGCAAAAGGGGATGGCGTGACCCCCGGGACGCTGCGACCGTCACAAGTACGAATCGGTTGCCAAGCGTCTGGATTCTGATCAGGTGATCCTGGGGAGGCTACAGAGGTGGTACCTGTGAAAAACAGCAAGGAAGGTCGTAGAATGGGGCAAAACTAACTTAAGTGTCTCATTTCGCCACAGAAATTTGGAGCCCCGTTGCGGTCGTTAAGTCGAGGACTTACCTGTATAGTGGTTCTAGGGCCATCACTTTTTTTTTCCGGTGCCCTTGTAACTTGGAATGGTCGCTAAGGGAACTGTCGTAAGCCGAGGACCACCTGTACATCACTATCTCTGCCCTTCACTGCCTACATCCCACGTCTCTTCGTCCACCCTTGCCCAGAAAGGCGGATTGGAAATTAAATTGATGTAATTTATTTGTTAGATTAAAACCTTGTCTTTCCTTGAGCTGCTGAAGGTGGTGTGTTGTGTTTCCTTTGTCTGGTTTTCTTTCCGAAACGCCACAACTTTGTGAGTGAACCCGGGTGAAGAGAAGTCCGTGATTGGTCAGGAAGCTTCTGTGGCCGAACAGGGACTCAAACTGAGTCTTTCTCTCTCTCTCTCTCTCCCCCTTTCTCTCTCTCTTTGTCTCTCTCCTGTCTCTCTTTCTCTTTCTGTCTCTTTCTCCTCCCTCTCTCTCTTTCTCTCTCTCTCTGTCTCCGTCTCTCTCTCTCTCTCCCCCTCCCTTTCTCTCCCTCTCTCTCCCTTTCTCTCTCTGTCTCTCTCCTGTCTCTCTTTCTCTTTCTGTCTCTTTCTCCTCCCTCTCTCTCTTTCTCTCTCTCTCTGTCTCCGTCTCTCTTTCTCTCTCTCTCCCTCCCTTTCTCTCCCTCTCTCTCCCTTTCTCTCTCTGTCTCTCTCCTGTCTCTCTTTCTCTTTCTGTCTCTTTCTCCTCCCTCTCTCTCTTTCTCTCTCTCTCTGTCTCCGTCTCTCTCTCTCTCTCTCCCCCTCCCTTTCTCTCCCTCTCTCTCCCTTTCTCTCTCTTTGTCTCTCTCCTGTCTCTCTTTCTCTTTGTCTCTTTCTCCTCCCTCTCTCTCTTTCTCTCTCTCTCTGTCTCCGTCTCTCTCTCTCTCCCTCCCTTTCTCTCCCTCTCTCTCTCTGTCTCTCTCCTGTCTCTCTTTCTGTCTCTCTCCTCCCTCTCTCTCTTTCTCTTTCTGTCTCCCTCCCTCTCTCTTTCTCTCCCTCCCTTTCTCTCCCTCTCTCTCCCTTTCTCTCTTTCCTTCTCTCCTTCTGTCTCCCTTTCTCTCTCTCTCTCTTTCCTTCTCTCTCTCTCTCCCTTCCTCCCTCTCCCTCTCTCCCTTTCTTTCCTTCTCTCTCTCTCTTCTCTTTCTTTCTCTGTCTCTGTCTCTCTCTCTCTTGAGCGTATATTCAAGATGGACAGCGATTAATATTTATATACGTTACATATCTAAGGCTGTGGGTCTATATATATATATGTTGCATATAGTACGTTTAAGTGTATAATATGTTTAAAACGACAAATCTCCGCCTGTGCCCTGGCGCGGACTACACTTCCCATGGTTCTTGGCGCGCGGTACGCCCCTTCCCGACGTCACGCCGCCGCCCCGCCCGTCACGCGCATGGGAATTCCCCACCCAGCTCGTGTGTGTGACGCGCAGGACGCCGGCCAGCCAATCAGCGCCCAGCGTCTCTGCGTGCAGCGGAAGAAGCGGCCGTCGGAGGAGCCGTCGCGGCGGGAGGGGCGGGAGCGAGGGAGAAGAGCAGGCATGAGCCAGAACGGCGGGGGGAACCCCTTCGAGGGAGACACGGGGAATCCCTTCCAGGTGCGTAGCGTGGGGGAAAAAGGGGGTTTGGGGGTGGGGGGTTCCCCCCCGGTCCGGGGTAAACACGGGGTCCTTGCCTCCCTGGCTCATCCCCGCCTGCTCCCAGGCTCTTTGCCCGCATCTTGACCCTGGGTTGCGTTCCCACGTTATTGGGGTACGTGTTTGTGAGATTCCCCCCCCCCCATCTCATCCTGGCGTTCTGTATTTTTCATCCTCCCAGCTCAAGGTAACAGGCAGGGGATGGGGGGGGGGTTTCCTGCCCCTCCTTTCCTTCCGGACCCTCCCTTCTTTAGTGCCCTCTGCTCACAACAAGCCTGCGAGGTCAGATTGTTGCCTGAGTAAAGAGGGGGTGGGCTGCCCCCCCCCACACACACACACCAGAAATGTCTTTGGGTGAGAATGGACTACCGTGGGATGCCAGGCCAAGCCTTTGGACGCCACTGCCTTGGCTTGGTTAAAAGAAGTGAAATTAAATGCTGTACACTGCCTTGGAAACATGGAAAGCTGAAGATTCTAGTCCTCAGGAGACGGGAGGTAGCATGAAAACAGGACTGACTTTTTAGGTTTTTTTGGCCCCATCGAGTGTGTCCTGGGGGATGTTAGAGAGGCCAACAGAATGAAAAAAATCTTACTCCTTCCTTCCTTCCTTCCTTCCTTTCTTCTTTCCTTCCTTCCTTCCTTCCTTCCTTCCTTCCTTCCTTCCTTCCTTCCTTCCTTCCTTCCTTCCTTCCTTCCTTCCTTCCTTCCTTCCTTCCTTCCTTCTACAGGGGGTTGGACTAGAAGACCTCCAAGGTCTCTTCCAACTCTTTTATTCTGTTATCCATCCGTCCTTCCTCCCTCTCTTTCTCTTTTCCCTCCCTCTCACCTTCCTTCCTTCCTTCTTTCATTGCCTCCTTCCTTGCCCCCTCCCTCCCTTCCTTGCATTGGCTTTTCCCTCCACTGTTCTTTGCTTTAATAATAGTTTGGAAAGTAAGCCATGATGGAACCCAGCCCAAACAAACCACCTTTAGGACAATAAGCCAAGCCGGTCACAATGAATCTTTGTCTCTGTTTCTGCCTTGCTGGTTTCAGCTCAAATCTGTGCGGGAGTAACAAGCACGGCAATCGGATGTTTTATATCAGTTCCTCTTCATTAGGGGAAAAAAAAAAAAGGAGAATTAGCAAAATTTTGCCTGTTGCCGAGGAGATAAAAGGGCTTTTGTGTTTATCACACAATCACTCCTTTAACTGCACTGGCCCAAATTCTGTTTGGCCAAAGCCTTTTGGGATTTCGTCCCCCTCTGGATGACACAAATGTAGTTTTAAAACTGCGTTGTGCCTTTGAAAAAAGAGACTCTTCAAATAATGTTGCTTTTTTACATCTGTCCTTGCTTTAGTTGGGCCTCCTTTTGAATACTCTGGTTTCTGAAAATAATCACAGAAAGTGCTCACTACTTTTGTTTTGCAAGCCAGCAGAGATTTGGGGTTGTTAAGAGAGTGTTGAAATAAAATTTCCCCAACTTATTTCACAATAAATAGACAATGAGTAATGTGGCTGACCTTGTTTGCTAGTTAAGTCTATTTAGTGGAGGGGTTTTTTCTTTTGCATGGCGTGCAATTAGTGAAAAGTGAACGAAAGAAAGAGGAAGAGGAAGGAAAGAGAAAGAGAGAGAGAAAGAAAGAAAAAGAGGAAGGAAGGATAGGATAGGATAGGAAGGAGGGAGGGATAGGAAAGGAAGGAAGGGAGAGAGAATTGGATGGAAAGGAAGGAAATGAGATTCTCATTTCATTGTGGCTATTTCTGCCTTTTTCCATCTTTGTGCATTATAATGCAAGGGAAACAATGGGTTAAAATTGTGATCAATAAATAAAATAATAGCTTGGCAGCAATTCCCACCTAGAAAACCGATAATCTATGAATGAAAGCTGGTGCTTTTGGATCAAACCTGAAAAGAGGCGATCAGATTCCTCCTAATTTGGCAGAGAGAAATATATATATATTACAGGGGAGAAGGGAAGGTTGAAAATAAGGATTTAACAAATTCGGTTTGGCTTTTGCTTCAAAATGCCCGGAGAGGAAAAACTTGGCTTGCCTTTTAGGAAGGGATAGTACAAATAAAAGTAAATTTTCCTCTTTTTTTTTTTTAACTACCTCTCTCTTTATTTTCCTTCTCCTAAGGATCCGGGTATAATTCAGCACCGGCCAAATACGGATTATGCTACTCTGGATGTATATAATCCTTTTGACAACACCGGGGTGAGTCGCTTGCTCGATCCTTTGCTGAGTTCGCATTTTATGTGCATTCAGGGTTCGCTTTCAGCAAGGATATTCTTGAAACGGCTCTCCCTCTGAGCTTTCAGAATCTACCTTCACGAGGTCTAGAAACATGAGCTGGCTTTTCTTCCAGGAGAAGCTATGATCCCCTACCACTAAAGAGGCTTTCGGTCTTCTCTTTTCGCAAGGATTTGTCAGCCAGTCCGTCAGAGCTAAGAGCCAGCTTCAACGCTTTGATTGAAATTTTAGTTCTGCTCAGAATCCACCAGGGGGCCCTAATCTGTGGTCTCGGCGGCCTCAGTGTTCCCCACCTGTAAAATGGGCATAATATTGACTCTCCAGCCCGTTATGGCTGTAGGGAAAGATTACGGTACTCAGCGATGGGAACTACAAAACTTGTTATTTCATCCTTTTTAAGAGGAAGCAGTTGAAATTCTGGAATTCCACCTGATTTAAAGATAATCCTCTACTTAACGACCAGAATGTTAAGCAAAGGGGTTGTTAAATGAATCGCATTCTGCAAAATTCTGAGATTTCTCTCTCTCTCTTTTTTTCCCTTTTGGGGCAGAATCCCCCGCCATACCAACCCTCGGTCTCGGCTCCCACAATCCCCTCGGTACCCACAGTTCCTGTCTCAGAGGCGCCCAAGAAACAGAACAATGTGGAGCCCAGAAATTACGGCTCGTATGGGACCCAGGTAAGGAGAGAGAGAGAGTTAACCCGTTCGGGAGAGGTTAAAAAAATTGAAGAAGCACAAAAAAAAAATCAAAATGTAAAAATTTTGGGGTAAAATCAGGACACGGTGAGTTCTAGTCCCACCTTAGGCACAAAAGTGGGCTGAGTGACTTTGGGCCAGTCCCTGCTTCACAGGAAAATAGGAGAAGGGAAGAGTCTTAGTTAACGTTCACTCCCTCGACTTATTTATGAAAAAAGAACAAACCTGGCATAATTTTTTTTTAAAAAAAAAGATTTTCCCACTCCAACGCTTTGCAGTTAGTCTGACGCGGCCAAGCTGCCTTGAAGTACATCGGGCCGCTATACCCTGCCTGGCCAGCTGGTGGCACTGCAGCTCCGCCCTGTCAATCCCCTTCCGTCTTCCCGATTAGGAATCCGCCACCGCAGCAAAAGCCGAACTCTTAAAACGCCAAGAAGAGCTGAATCGGAAAGCCGAGGAATTGGACCGAAGAGAGAGAGAGCTGCAGAACGCCGCCCTGGGCAGCGGGGCAGGTACGGCATCCTATTCCCGCTTCCCGGAAATTTCCACCCACCCACCCACCCCCCAAAAAATGCGGAAACCAAACCGTCTCTTTCTTCTTTACAGCCAGACCAAATAATTGGCCTCCGTTGCCTTCCATCTGCCCGGTGAAACCCTGTTTTTATCAGGATATTTCGGTCGAGATTCCCGTGGACTTTCAGAAAACGGTCACCATCATGTACTACCTCTGGATGGGTGAGCCATCTTTTCCAGCCTTTTTTTTACAAAAATCTTTTTTTATTTAAATAGATTTTATTAATTTTTTTTAACATAATCACCTTAATATTTGGTAAACAGCGTGTTGTCTAGATGGCCTCCAAGATCCCTTCCCACATCATCATCATCATCATCATCATCATCATCATCATTATTATTATTATTATTATTATTATTATTATTATTATTATTATTATTATTATGGATCATTGCACAGTCAGCCAGATGTTCAGACTGGATTTGGCATTTTGTCTACCTATTATTATTATTATTATTATTATTATTATTATTATTATTATTATTATTATTATTATTATTATTATTATTATTATTATTATTATTATTATTATTATTAT